GCCGACCACAAACTCACAATGATCCTATTGCTTCAGCCTCCCAAGAGCTGGAAGTACAGGCATGTGCCACCACACCCAGCCATGGCTCAAATGTAAACCATGGAGTACCAAGTACATCCATAGGTGAACACTTCAGGGTATTTTTTATAAAACTGAATAAAAAATTATTTTAAAGCTGTAGTAGAATCCTTGCAAGACCTGAACAACATAAAAAACAGAAGCCAGAAATATGACAGTAGTGCAAATATAAGTAAAGTGTAAGCCTGCATTAGAAAACCCTTGAGAGAAACAATGTCCCCATAAGCCGGGACCCACTAAACCAGGCCCCAGCCACTGAACCACTCCTGGCTTTGTATTTCTCTTTAAAACAGCCTCTATGGCAAGATAGCTCAGCTATCTAAAGCTCCTGCTTAGGCAAGTTTAGGCTAGGCACAAGGGACCACAGTTCGATCCCTGTCACCACATGCCACATCAGCCTTGCCCTCAGAGTGCGCTGAGCCAGCCAAAAAATTAAAAATTAAGAAAAGTTTTTAAGATAAAATCTCTGACATTATTAAGCTTTTAAAATCTTCAAGAGTAGTGTTACAGGGGCTGGGGAGATGGCTCAGTAGAGTAAGTGCTTGCCTGGCAAGAGCAAGGGCCTAAGTTCAATCCATGGTTCTGCCAAAAAAAAAAAAAAAGTAGTGTTACAGCTCTTTTAGAATTTTTCTAGCAGGAAAAAAAAAAAAGCTTTCTAGCAGGTTTTCTGGCACCTAAAACCCTGAAATCAATCAATCAATCAATCAACCAATCAATCAGTCTTCCAAGAGTGATATGACTCCTGAAAAGATTAAATGTTTGGGTGTATTAATGACTCACTGAATATAAATGTGAAACACCCTGTTGAATATATGATGGAAAAATTGAATGGAGACTTGTGTGTCAGCAAAATGTCAATTACAAACAGTAGGCAATGTCCTTTCTATGAAGGAACTGAAAAGAATACAAGTTATAAAATACTAAAATTCTACTTTTTAAAAATTTAGTATAGGGTCTACAGGGTCTCACTATACAGATTGGACTCAGTGATTCTTCTGTTTTCAGCCTCTCAAATGCTGGGATTAAAGGTGCACACCACCATGCCCAGTCTTAGTTGCTGTCTCAGTGTGCCCTGGGGGTGAGGCTGGCATGGCACAAGTTCTACTTTCAAACATCCGCGACTCAGCTATCAGCCTAATATTGACTGGGCATGATACTCTAAGTTACATTGATTGTTTAACCTGAATACACAGAAAAATTAACATTCAATGTATAGGCTGGGTGTGGTGGTACATATCTATAGTCCAGCACTTAGGAGGCCGTGGGGGAGCATCATTCCAACTTGAGGCAGCCTGAACTACATGAGACCCTATAGAAAGAAAGAAAAGAAAGAAAGGAAGAAGAAATCAGTGTACACAATCTCAAAGATGTGAAAAAGAGTAAGAAATTCTTCAAAGAAATACCAAGTGATTTTACTTTTAAAAATTAGATCATTGATTTTAAAGTAAGTTGTAAGGGCCAGCCAGATAGCTCAGTGGATTAAAACGCCTGCTTAGGCAGGAGCGG